GTAGGATATGGGTAAATGTCGGAATCGCCTCCTGCTCCCCCTTCAGGTTCTGGTCATCCGGCCCATTTGTGTCTGCGGCGAGCAAAGGTCTTGTTTTTGTGACACAGTTCTATTGACCACTTCAGGAAACCGAGGAAACAGGAGCCAGTGCATCCCATTGTGCGCATAAAATGAGTCAATTTCATACTCTCACCTGCGCAGAAGCGCCTGGCATGGCATTGCAGACCAAAACTGGTTCAACAGTCGTTCCACCAGGAAAGCCCCAAAAATGGCAGGTTGGGAACGGTCCTTCTACTAGCTTTCTGAGAACCTTCCTTAAGACCACCGTTTGCAGGGTCTTTACGGGTTGCAGAAGGCCTCTGACAGAATGCCTGGGGTTACCAGGCATCATCCCCAGACAGTTTGCAGTACCAGAGCTGACTCTTGGAAAAGAAGGCAGCATGGGTGCATCTGAGCATGTGCAGAGAGCCTTTCCTTTGCCAGGCCCCAGCATCATGGCTGCTGGGCTTTCTCCCGGCTCTAGACCATGGGTTTTCCAAAGGGAATAGAATGGCATTTCCTAAAGATGTCAACTTCACACCAGAGAGCAGCTTTGAAGAGGATGGGGTGTGGCAGCCCACTGAGCTGCACCTCCGTCTTCGCAACGGGCACCAGTTCTCCGCTGTTGCCTCATTTCTCTACTCTTACATCCTTAAGCTACTGAGTTATGCTCGTGATTCTGCAATGTGTTTCCATGTGGCTTTGCATTTGTCATTCCACTTTTGGCATGTCCGTTTCTCCTGCTGTTCTGCGTCAACTTATGTCTCAGTCTTGGGTACTTGTCCATCCAGTGACCTTTTGAAAATATTTTAAGAGCCACTTCTTCAGAACAGCCTCGATTTTCTTTTATGCAGTTCAAAAAAAGGCCATGTATTCTTGGTCCTACTGGTAATGGCCTGAATACAGGTCCTCTGACGGTGCCACAAAACAAAAGCTGCAGAGCTCGGCAACCTGCCACCCTCCCTCCGAAATAGACCAACTGGTAAAGCACGGGTGAGGCAAGACCTGTTGCTTACGCAGAACTTCCATGCTGCACTCTTTGTATGTGCAGGGACATGGTTTTTAAAAGCTTGCTCTGCAACGCGCATGCAAAGTAGGAGAGATGCTAGAGGTTTTTCCTTATGGCTGTCGTTTATTCTGGATCCTGCTAGACCTTGGAAGTGGGAAGGAAGCCAGCAAAGAAGTTGCTTTAGTTGAAACTGCTGGTCTGCCCAGGCCAGGTACACTTCCAAGAAGCGATTCTACCACGAGATGTAGCCATTCCCATGGAAAATGATCAAATGTCCCCCAGGAAGCCCCACCCCATTGCCTGCATCGACATGTCTGCTCTGACCCCAGGTCTTGCTGGATCTTCCATCTCACATCAATTCTCACCATTGGCTGTGGCTAATGGGACCTGTAGTCCAGGATTAGTCTATGCAAACTGGCAGGGTTTCAGACAGTGGCCCTGTGGATTCAGCGAGGACCTTCTGCATTCCAAGTGGGTGCCCTGCCTCGGAATGGGGGTGTTCCCCAAAAAATAAAGTCAGGTCATAGGATAGAAGAGCTGGAAGGGTCCCTGAAGGCCATCCAGTCCACCCCCTGCAGTTGCAGGACACCAGCTCACACCACCCCACTCAGGTGGCTGCCCAGTTTCTTGCTGAAAGTCTCCAGTGTGGGAGAGCCCCCACCTCTCCGGGCAGCTGGTACCACTGTCCTATTGCTCTGACCGTGAGGAAGCTTTTCCTGACGTCCAGCCCGGTCCTAGTCCTCATGGTTCTCTGTGAATGACCATTTAAACAGGAACACGGAAAGCTTGTTTATACCAAGTCAAATGATCAATCTGCCTAAGTCAGGATCGCTGACACCAGCATTCTTCGTCGTGGCCTCTGTGCCTCACACATATGGGTGCAGCGCCTGCGCAGTGCCTGTGGCCGGAAAGATTCAAAGCTTAACGGTTTTGGCGGGAACTCCGCGCCCCTCCCTGCCACGGTATAAAAGGGCGGCGTGCCCGCCATTTCCTCAGTCTTCTTGCGACCGCCGTTCACTGTGCCTCGAGCGTTTCATCTCTCAGTTTGTACACATTTATCCAGTTGCTATTATCTTCTTAGACGTTACGATTCCAAGTTTTTTCCCTCCCTGTTAGAAGTTTTCCTTCTCAATTCCCCATTTTTCCCTGTTTCAAAAAACAAAACAAAAAAAATTGTTCCTCTTCTTCTCCTTACCTTGCTATCTTCTCTTTCTTCCTCGAAAGCGTGCAACTTTCCACATGTGCTCTCAGTGTGGGTGCAAAATGGCACCTACTGACCCGCACGGCCTGCGCCTCCTCTGTCTTGGAGAAGGGCACAGGGCTGATAAATGCGGCCATTGCCAGTCCTTTACTAAGCAGGCGAGGAAAAATCGGGAGAACCGCCTGCACAAACTTTTGTGGGACCAGGCCCTGCTCCAGTCGGACCAACTGGCAGGCAAATCTGCTGCTCCGTACTCTTCTTCCACTACACCTCCGCCCCGCCCATCAGCTGATAGTGCCCCTTTGCGGGAGGGTCAACGCTCCTCTGCATCTCCGCATAAGCAGAAGGAGAAGAGGAAGCATAGTGGTTCGGACAAGTCCTCAGGCCATAAGAAGCCTAAGAAGGACAAGACAGATAAGTTGGCTCGCAAACCTAAGAAACCTGACCATTCCAAGCACCGTGACTCGGGTTCGTCTGCCCCGTCAATTCCAGTGGCTGCTTCGGTACCAACGCTGACCGGCCTGGCCCTCCAGTTGGCCACACAAGTGACCCTGCCTGGGTTTCCAAGACGGGTTGCACCTTCCGTCCAGTCTTCCCTTGAGCAACGAGACGTTCCCTTGCTGGGATCAATCTCTGACAGAGAGATTTGGGACTCTGCTCCAATGGCTCGCTCACCTACTCCCCAACCATCACTCGAGCCTTCCCCGAGGGCTGCTCCTCAGCAGGTGCGATATCAACAGCGCACCTCCGTTCGTCCCTCGGAAGAATGGGTTCAGCCGCCCCATAGGCTGTCTCATCGCGAGCCATGGGGTGATTATCCACCCTACGGTTACTACCCGTCGGTGCGCAATCATCTGGTATCTGAGAGACGCTCCTTCGACTTCGAGAGCAGCTCAGTCTAGGCATCCCACTTTGCACATCGGCTCTTCCTCTA